AATCAAACCATCCCCCCCCAAACAAAAAACAAAACAAAATACAACAAATAAAAAAAACACCCTTAAAAAAAACAATACCCCTCACCCCCCTCCCCCCAACAAACAAAACAAAACAAGGCACCTCGCCCTCGGGTGGGCTGTAGTAATAGCCGCTGTCATCAAAGAGGTACTTCTCATTCTCGATAATGCTGGGGCAGTAGAACTGGTTGAGAATGGTCAACAGAGTGCGTCGGTCCCAGTCGTCGGTCACACGGCCGCCGTAGTTACACTCTCCCGTCAGGTAGCTCAAAGCCTCGTATTGGACATCCTGTAAGCACAGGGTTTAAAAAATTGCTCAAGAAATCCTTTGTCGAAATTCAAATTCTAAATGTTGAAAAAAAAAGCTTGAGAAAAGTACAAAATGTAGGTACCATTCGCGACCCCAGTGCTTTATGGTTTATCTCTATTTTTAAAAACAGCGAAAACAGTTCATAACAGAGAGTGAGCATAAGAAGAAGTCAAATTTTCACCCGAAAAAAAAGGAGAAACGACATGAAAGCACTGAGGTTGCGCATTGTTTCAAAAAACCCGAAACAGTTGGGATTTAAAAAAAAATCTCTTGTAACATTTTGCTTTCTGGACTTAAGTTTCAACGGCCAGCTAACGAATCATTGTTGTAATTTTTTTCAAAAAATGTTCACCACTCACATCGTAGTCATTGAGGAACATCTGTAGCTGCTGCACGCTGATCCTGAGGTCCGTCTCGTTGTACTCATAGGGGATGTTCCAGCCCAGGGGTCCAAACTTACGGCGCTCCTGGACAAGCGCGTGGAAGAAACACAGGCCGTACAGCAGCTTCTTGAACTTGGGCTGTGAGGGAGAGGAACAAAGTCATAAGGTCGGGATTAATTACAGTCATAAGGTCAGGATTAAAGTCATAAGGTCGGGATTAATTACAGTCATAAGGTCGGATTTACAGTCACAAGGTCGGGATTAATTTAAGTCATAAGGTCGTGATTAATTACAGTCATAAGGTCGGGATTAAAGTCATAAGGTTGGGATTAATTACAGTCATAAGGTCGGATTTAAAGTCATATGGTTGGGATTAATTAAAGTTATAAGGTCGGGATTAAAGTCATAGGGCCAGAATTAAAATCATAGGGTCGGGATTAAAGTCATAGGGCCAGAATTAAAGTCATAAGGTCGGGATTAAAGTTATAGGGTCAGGAATAATTAAAGTCATAGGGTCGGGATTAAAGTCATAAGGTCGAGATTAAAGGAGGAAAGCTAGAGAATAGACAGGCAAGAAAAGGGGTGACAGTGGCAAAAGTATCAGCATCAGCTGCAATAGCGAGTAAAACAATTGAATTAACAATAATAACAACACCAGCAACAACAACAACAAAAACAGTATTAGTAAAAGCACATACTGAAAACAGACAGCAATAAAAAAAAAAGGAAAAAAATGTATAAAGCAGCAAAGCACTTTGAAAACAAAGAGAAATGCGAAAAAATACAAGATGTGACTTCAATAGAGTACCGTCCTTTAACGAAGATTGTTCAAATAATCATGGACAGTGACATAAGTATTAAAGTTGAAAAAAATTAAATAAACACATGAAAACTGCGTCTTTCTAAAGGGCTGATTCCTTAATCGAGTATCATATCTGCTGCTTTAAAAGGAGTGATGATTTAAAACTACTTTTTTTCTTCTCTCCAAATATGTTCTGTGTGAACAAATATGCACAATCTTTACAAACAAGCCAGAGCTAGGATGATCAGAATACAATATCATATTTCCTAAAATTCAGTTTTCTGGCACGTGGCTTCATCAGAATATCTGGCACCATCCCAGAAATGGTCGCTTTTAAGGACAAGCGGGCTAACTCAGATTTCGGGGGTTTCCAGAAATCTTGACATACACCAAAAGTGGACATTGCTCTACCTATACGAGAAGTTTGGTTTCGTCTGTGTTAAGAGAAATCTCCTTGTCTTTTAAAGGAACTGAACAAGGAACAAAAACTTTACCTTTGATTTTCTCAAAACAGCATTTTTCGGGATAGCCTCCTTGTGCTTAAAAGCGACCAAATATGACTACAATGGCCAAACCAGAAGTGCAAAATGATAGAATTTACATAAAAAGTGCAAAGGCAATCATGCACAGAGAATATAATGGATAAACACAATTTCTTGACATCAATAGATCTGTAGTGTTGGGACTATGTCAGAGAAATGAAAGATCAAGCAATACTCATGTTATCAACAGTTGGTGGTATTTCAGCCCCTTTCATTCTACAGTTAAAAAAAAGTTCAAGACAGCCACCCACTATCCAGAAGAAAAGTGGTTGTCTTAGACAGGTGGACGTCTCGGACATTGTCATTATAATATATATTTGGGGAGTGGGAAGTGGTCGTTTGTACAGCTGTTTATCTTGAACAGCTGGCTGTTAAGGCAGTTATAAGTTAACAGTGCTCACATTGCCATGCATGCTCAGGAATTGTTTGTATCAACCCCCTCCCCCAATCCACCCATACATGTACAGATGTATTATACATTAGAAGAAACATATTTCATGCTCTTAGGGGGAAGATCATAATATGGAGGTTAGGGTAAAAAAGAATACTAAGACAGCAACAAAAATTTGAACCACATTATACATCTAGAGAAAGGAAAATTACTATAAGCAGAATTCTCTCTTCTCTGCGTGTCTGTCTGTCTGTCAGAAAGAGTGTGAGTATGTCTGTCTGTGAGTGTGTGTGTGTGTGTGTGTATGTATGTGTGTTATGTGTGTGGGTGTGTGTGTGTGTCTGTCTGTGTGTGTGTGTGTGTGTCTGTCTGTGTGTGTGTGTGTGTGTTTGTGTGTGTTTGTGTGTGTGTGTGTGTGTGTGTGTGTGTGTGTGTGTGTGTCTGTCTGTCTTACTATATCTTATTAATATACACATTAATACAAACAAGGTGAAACAATATATCTGGAGAGAAAAAGACTTGATGTACTAAAGCTTTTTACCGTGCAAATAAATCTCTTCATATGTCCAGGTAAGATCGAGGAGAATATTAGAGACAATTGATAGACCTACGATTAAACTACAAAGGAAAAAGAAATGGGGATAAGAAAAAGCTGACATGGGAACGGTGGAGGGTAGAGAGGAAAATGCCAAAGCCTCTTTTTTATGTGCATGCCTAAAGTTTAAGGATGCAGACAGCAACAATGGACCCCCCCCCCAAAAAAAAAAAAAAAAAACGCAACAAAAATAATATAATAACAATGATAGAGTAATAACAAATAGACAATAATGATAATAATTATAATGGTAATAATAATAATAATAATAATAAATAATAATAATAACAGCAATAATAGAATAATAACAAATTGACAATAATGATAATAACAATGATAATAATAGTAATAGTAATAATAATAACAATAATAATAATGATGATAATAATAGCATTTATAAACTTTGAAGATAACCACGACAACGTTAATGATAAAACTTAACCATGATAATTACATCAACTAAATATTTTTCCCCACCACTTCCACAACTAAAGTCCCTTGAGTTTTCGTAAGAGAATTAAAAATGACCATTAAAGAGTTTGCCAGCTGTTTCTTTTGTCATCTACATCTCAAACGGCAGGTACATATTATAGGCCACGAAAGATAACACATTTTCTGAAGGGTGTTGTACCACAGCGAAAATTGTTGAAAGTTATCAATATTGTGAATTAGGTTAAACCCAGGCATGCACATGGAAAAGGCACTGATAATAATAAATGTGAGATGAAAAAGAAAAGAAAAGCAGGGAAGCTTTCTGAATTGTTGACCATGTCTACATTACAACCGGCACCAATTGAAAGAAAGAAAAAAAACAACAAGAAAAGAGGAAAGCAATCTACAAATTGGACAAAGTTTGAGGTACAATACATACATATTTTTAAAAAAGGAAACGAGTTGGTAAAAGTGACAGGTGATAATAAAATAATATAAATATTTACCGCATTCTGTGAAAGAGAAGGGGAAACATAATTTGTTGAAATATTTGTTTTGGAAGTCAGGGTAATGAAAATCATTGAAATTTGTGAAAACAAATACCTTGATGAAAGAAGAAGAAGAAGAAGGAGAAGAAGAAGGAAAAGAAGAAGGAAAAGAGGAAGAAGAAGAAGAGGAAGAGGAAGAGGAAGAGGAAGAGGAAGAGGAAGGAGGAGGAGAAGGAAGAGGAGGAGGAGG